TATATAGCACTGTGAGTGTGTGATACACACATAATCAGACGGGCATACATTGCTTTCATTTTTGACAGGTGTATATATATATATATTGTAGCTGTGACAGACCAATGAGACGGTGAGTAGTGTTGCATGGTAATGCATCTCAAGATGGCGGCAGTTGCTGATGCTTGTGTCAACACACTTCATCGAAACCTTAAAACAAACTCAGATATCAAAACCCAAAACCCTACCTCGGAGATATGCTACGGCTGGTGGGAGGTTAGGTGGTGACGAGTTATGAATGTGTATGTCATTATGTATTAGTCAGACGGTGTGTGTTTGTACATGTGTTGCTTATAGCTGAACGTATAGTATTACCGTTCCACCTCTTGATCTTGAAACCGTAAACGCTAAACCTTCAAACCGTAACCTAAACCCTTATAGATGCTGCAACGGCTGGTGAAGTACGATGTGGCAAAGAGTGACTTAACGGAATGGGACTCGCAGAAGCTGTGGGAGAAAGTGTCCACCGCAATTACCAACAAGGATCAGGTAGCAGCCACAGACGAGAAGAACAAGGTACTGTGTATTTACGTTTTTCTCATGCCTATACCCTCGAATGCAAGGGGTTTAGGGGTTTAGGGTTTTAGGGTTTATATCCTTGTATGCAAGGCCTTGAGTCTCATGCAACTATCCGTATCCATCCTTGTTAGATTAGCGTTTTATGTATTGGCGTGGGCGCGTAGATTGATTGTACTATGTCTACCGTTCTTGTAGCGTGGCTTGGCCCATCCCTTTCAGATTCCAACTGCCTTTTCAAAGTGACTATACAGATTCATTTAGTCAGATGATTGTGGGGTTGAAGCTTCAACTTTGGTCAGATGATGTGCTCTGATGCTTGTTTCGTCTACTCTCGCAGATTCATCTGAGCAATACTGCATTCATCTGATACCCGGCTACTGCCAGATTCCCGTAGGTGCACACTAAAATCTCATATGCGAAAATAAACACTAAAATCTCATGCTCGAAAATATACACTCAAATCTCATATGCGGAAATAAACACTAAAATCTCATGCTCGAAAATATACACTAAATTCTCATATGCGAAAATAAACCATTGATGTGCTACGTTTGTTTCAACAACACGCAACAGTTGGAAGAAGCTCAACGCGAGGCTCACAAAGCACGTGTCAACCGCGACGAAACATACGCACCACGACTCTTTAACAGAGTATTGGGCACAGACCGAGCAGATGGCCTGAGTGATGAGGACTACTATGTGTACCGGTACTTCAACCTCGTCAAGGTGTGGCAAGTACATGGACAGCAATGTATACGTACACGTATGCGTATAAGTTTATGATTATATATATATATATATATATGCGCGTGTGTGTATGTACATATTTATATATATATATATATGTGTATATATAGGGTAGGATGCCCTGTATGTCTAGTTGCATTGAGGCTCGTGTCCGCCGTTGGTACGCGAGTCTTTAGAATATGACATTTTACTTTCATCTTATTAGTGTTCTTTCCATCTGAAAAAGTGTGTGCTTCGGCATGTAAGTATATGTTAGAAATACGCCGAGAAATGTAAAGGCTGGTCAACTGAACTATTTCCAAAGTGGTTACTAACCATTTGTTATAGCGTTTGGCCAATCCGTTTAAGTTGAGGGGCAATGGTCATAGAGCGAATACAGATCACATACATAACTGTACAACTACGCCAACCAAACTAAAACCCTAAAACCACAGCGTTACATCATACCACTGAAATCAAATGTATAAACTCGATAGAATCTCACCTGCATACGAAACCATACCATGTCCAGTGGGACGCACAACGGGAGTGCTATGACTTTGAAAAGGACGGGATCATCTCTACACGACTACGCAGCGGCGAACTATACACAGCCCACGACGCACCAGCCGTCACTCAGCGATTACTGCAGACCAATACACGCCACAAGGACGAGCTCACCGTGCGAGAACTCCGGCAGAAGGTACGTGTGGTTGGATGGGTATATATATTCGCACACACATATTTATATATATAAATAGATACGTATGTATGTATGTATGTATGTATATTTGTATGTATGAATTTATGTATGTATGTATGTAAA